TTGAGTCCCGAGAATGTGTTTTCACAAAGTGCTGTTCAACTTCGTCGTCCTCTGGTTTTCCATGGAATTCCTGGTTGACATCCTCCAGCTCCCAAAAGCGCCGAAGAGTTGAGTCAATGTCAATAGCCGTGTGCATTGTTGTTGTGGATGAATAGCCGGTAGTGATGATAGATGTTATGACCCATCCAAAAATGGTCGAAATGGCGATGATGTTGCCCTGAACGTCGAACATCTTTTGACCGGTGAACACGGTCCAAACGTAATCACTGCCCAAGAGAATATCGACTGGCGCCAACGATTGATAGTTAGAATCCGCAAGCTCAAAGCCAGCGAATACCTTGAGTGCTGAGGCGTCGATATCGTGTCTTGCTAACGTGGAGGTAATTTTGCTGAGTACGTGTGCACGTACCTTCATTGTATGATCGGAGATCCTTGACTGCATGTCCAGTGTGCTGCAGCCTCTAGTTGTCTCTGCCTTGATCGATGAAATTCCAGACACCAAAATGCGTGAGGGCGAGCGTGACAGACCAAGAGCCTGTACGCACCTCTCTGAGATGTACGACAGTTCCGAACCACTGTCCAAAAGTACCCGACATGTAGTGTGCGATCCTTGTGCGTTTTTAACAAACACCAGAGCTGTTGGCAATGCACTTTTCCTTAGCCCTTGGGGCCGTGTAGCCGTTGTTGATCCGTTGCACAAGGACTCAACTGTGGGAGCCACTTGCGCACGAGCAATATGGCTGATGGTCCCCGCAGCCTCTTCGGGAGCGCTTGAGATGTGCTTTTCATCAGTGTGTGGCTGTGTCGTGGTCACAGCGGCTTGCGATCCAGAAATATCTACATGTAGGAGAGAGTGGTGGCGATTATGGCAAAACCTGCATGTAAATTTGGATTCACACTTGCGTGATACATGCCCATGCTTAAGGCAGTTGAAACACAATGATTTTGCCTTAACAAATGTGCGTCTCTGCTCGATGGATGCTTCAGCAAACTTTGGGCAACCGTAGATTTTGTGCTCCTTGGAGTTACATTTCGCACAAGCATTTTCTTCCATCGATACTAAAGCGTGTGACGAACGCTTTGCTTTGCTTGGTTGTGGGCCACCCTTGAAGTCGATGTCCGAGTCACTTTTGCTGAGCTCGAATTCCTCGCAGCGTCGGTCTAAAAACTTGAGTAAATCATTCACAGACGGAGATTCAAGTTCCCGGCTTCCCTCAATCCATTTGCGTCGAGTTTCAGCGTCGATCTTGGCCAGAATGAAGTGTATGATCCAGCAGTCCCTGTTAGTTTGCCCTGCTGCATCCAATCCTCGTACAATCTCCGTGGCTCCGTCGGTCACCTTGCGCAGAACTGTAACGTCTGCCTTGGATGTCGAAGGGAGATTCACAAACGTTTCCAGCAGAGTGTTGACAATGTGACGTGGTCTGTTGTATCGATCAATTAGGCAACTCCAAGCAGCCTCGTACGCAGCATCCGTTATTGGCATATGACGAATCAAATCAGATGCTTCTCCCGTAATATACGTTTTTAAGTAGTGGAACTTTTGAATTGCTGTCAAATGCTGCTTGCTATGGATCGTACTCTCGAAGATGTTTTTAAAGGCTGGCCACTCCTTGTAGTCACCAGTGAACACTTTGATGTGAATTTTTGGCAGTTCGTTGTGCATTACATTTGCTGCCGAGTTTGCCCTCAAAAACGTTGATTGTTGCTCAGCTAAACGCTCATTCAGTTCCTGTTGTTGTTGTAGAAAACGAGCCAGGCTTTCGTTTCCCCATCCAGATGAACTTGATGCGGCATCGCCAAGGTTGCCAGATTGCCTACCGCCGCTGCCTTCTCTGTCGCTCTCATTAGATGATTGACAGCGCCGTTTGATGGTGTGAAACAATGTGTTTGCTTGCAAGTACTTATCCTCGTATCTCTCGTTGTCGATGGCTGGATCGACATACCCCTCATTTTCTTCATAAAGGGCCATTTGATCGCTAATGGTCTCAAACTCCTTCCAAACGTTGTTGAGCCTTTCCAATGAGACTGTGATTTCATCAATTTCCCAGTTTGATCCCGCACGTGGATCTTGTGACGCCGTTAGCAAGCGCGTAATACTTGCCTTCGCACGGCTTCTTGCTGCCTTCAAAAGCTTTAATTGATCCATGTTAATCAATTGCTCGATCTGGCTCGAATGACCAAATATATGGTGAAGAATAAACACGGTTTATTTCCGATTTGAGTGGACTGTATCTTAAGCTTTATTGAACCGACATGTTCCGCTGTAGTCGTCTTACTTATACATACATAAAAAACCAAAAAATCTCATAGTGATACAAAAAATACCTAAAATACTAAAAAAGGGCAAAAATACTATTTTGCATGGCACAAGTATAATATTTTGAATTCAAATTGTGGATGCATTCCGTTCATCAACAATCATCAAACCACAAAGTTTTCAAAAATACATAAATTTTATTTTACACTGATTGAAATGTTAACAGCCATATACATTAAACTATTATTGAGATCTAATAGAGTCGATGGGGTACCCCCAAGGATGATTTTACATGAAGTGAACGCACATTCTGCCAGTTTTCCTTCAGCAGAGATACGAGAAAATTGATCGATAAGCTTATGTTTTGGGTCAGTTCCTCTGTGTGCATGCCAACATGTCCAACATTAACGGAGAGACTTGCCATCTTCTTCATCAGCAATTTCTTGGTGGACAGTATCTTGATTTTGGTACTCATTGACTCCCTATGAGTCAGAGGAGTGGGAAACTTGCCGGCGTTGGTAAGACCAGGACCCAGTAGCTTAGGAATTTGTTTAATAACCGACTCGGATGCCAAGAAGGCATCGTAAGACTTGGCCAATTTCTTAACCAACTTCGGATCCTTGTTAAGTTTCTTAAGTGCTTCCACATCCAAGCAATGAACTCCAATGGCCTTGGCCTGACAACAATGCTGTTGATCTCCGAGGACGCACACCTTTAACTGTGGAACTGCGAGGTGATGCAATAGCACACTTCCATAGAATCGCTTGCATTTTTCGGGATCGTAGTCTCTGAGTCCAATCTGCAGCTCCACGGATTCTTGGCGTTCGCTTTCTTTGCCTTGTGAGACCTGTAAAATATTTTTGACTGCCACATAGAGCGTTTCGCGGGATATTTTTGATGTCATATTTAATGGTTGAATGTGTCCGATATATTTTTAAATTTTGGGAGAATATTCTCAAACGAGTTGTTAGCACAAAATGTAAAAGGAGTTGTAATAAAGTAGACAGCTAAATGATGGAGATCTTGAAAAAATAAAAACGGTTTTTATCTTGCTAGTTTTATTAAAATAAGTTTCAGTTGTGGATTAACAATTTATCAAAATGTGCACTTTACAAATAATTAAATAGCTTTAAGAGTAAGACTTCCCAATTGATTAATTACTAAAACTATTCAAATACTAATTTTAGTCAATTTAATTATTGCGTGCCTGATTTGAACAAAATTAACTTATTTCATTAAGTCATAAATCGCTTGGCGAAATTCTCTTGATAATTGCAATTCCTCGTGTCATTATGGTCCCAGGCTGTGGATAATTGATTGGCCAAAACTGAAATCGATTTACCGGCTTCAGGGTGCAGTGCATTTTGCCACCGGCCAGATTGGAATTCGCAAATGCCACACACCAGATGGCAGATGCCACTTTCCACTCGAAATTCAGCAGCTCTGCTGGTTGAGTTCAGCAGTTCAGTTCAGTCCGGTTCAGGTTAGCTGGTTACGGTTCCCTTCGGATGGGCTCACTTCCGCCCAGTTTTGCGCTAATTAGGGAGTGTTGCCGCCAGGTTTTCGGGACAGCACTTTTGCAGCGTTGACAACATTTGTCGTCCTGCGCCAGAGTGCAGCTGGAAATGCAGACTGGGCTTTCTGGCTTGTGTGTAATTATAAACGAAATTATAAGCTGCGGCCGAACATCGTGTGCGGCGGAGATTAAAGTGGAAATTGCAATTCTGGCTGCTGTCTGGTGTGATCAAGATCCCTGTAACGGGAGGATGTGCACGGACATCACGGCCGCGATGAGGATTTGTTGCCTGCCAGTTGTAATTTACACATTTTGATTGCTCCCGACTAAAGGAGGGAATCACCTTCTCGCACAATCCCCACTCAGCCGCCTTGTCGCCTTCGCTGATAACATTATGCCGCATTTTTCTACAGCTTAATGCATAATTTGCGTCCTGGGAATAACGACAGCCAGTAGCAGCAAGACACTGGGAGTCGATATCACTTTAAAAAAAACTGAATTTTATTATTATATATTCTAATTGGAAAAATAAACTTCATCATCTTATTTGCATCCTAAAATGCAATGCTCTTTAATAAAACTAATAAATAAAATTATAAATAACATTAATTAAATAAAATAAACATTTTAACACTTTCAATGTAAATATTTTGAACTATATTTTTGTCGCTACTAAAAAATTTAAGATTTTTATTAATTTACTTTACTGTTGTTTTTAAAATATATATTTTTAGAACGAGTAAATTAGTTTAAGATATAACCTTTCAATAAAAATGTAATTTCCCAGCTTAGTTAAAAATTAGGTAGTAGTTACACAGATAAAAAAATATCCTGAATAAATCAAGAATATTTTGATTGAATATAGAACGCGTTTTCTTGAAATTTTTAATCACGTTTCGGGATTAAAAGGTTAAATTAATCCCGATTCGGGATTAAAATGCCACAGTAATCTGAAACGTTCTTGATTTAAGCTTAAAAATTCTTAAAAAGTCAATTTTTGCTGAGAGCGAGAGCAATCTCTCTCTCGTTTGATCTCTCTCGCATGGTATTCCTATATAAGGTAGTCTTCAGTATTCTTGGGAACTCAAAGCATTTGGAGAGGCATGCGAAAGAAAGAGATAGCAAGTTCAATAGTGCGCAGTTATCTTAAAAAGACCACCTTATGTTCTTCAGTTAAATGTACCATGCCATGCTCGGTGCGTACATTTTGGCAATTGAGTCGAGAACGTCGATAGAGCAACAGTGAAAAGTGAACGTGAAAGTAAAAATGTGTGAAACTTCGGATAAACCTGCTGAAGGAGTTTGAACTTGAAAAAGTGCACGACTATCTAATCGGTAAGTAGTACTTACTATGTACATATATAATATATATATATATGTATGTATATGTATATACTATATATTAAGCTGAGTTGTGTATGTGAATATGTATATGTATGTACATATCTGCAAGTGTGGCCGGCAGACAGAGAGCAAATGCATAAAATAAATTAATTATAATATTTGCGTGTTATCTACATATACATACATACATACATATGAATGTGAAGTTCAAAAGTGCTGTCAAAAATATGTTTATGGTTGTAGTTTTTCCTTGTATGTACATACATTAATACATACGAAGAACAGTACAGTTCTGTATTTGCGACATATGTACATACATAAGTACATACAATTTTTCGTGGAAAAACTCTACAACCTTCTGCAGCTTTGCAGCTTTATGCGATCGTGAACGGATATGCACGCTCTGGAAAAAGTTGCGTACGAAAAATGTTTATACGCGACTGAGTTGCCGAACGCGTGCTTGTCAGAGCACGATCGCATAAGGTTCTGTATTTAGCGAGCTCTGAGTCGAATGTGAAGGGAAAGCTGCAGACGAAAAAAAGTACAGTACTGTATTTCTATACGCAAGTGCGTTGCCATATGCCACATATATATAAATGTGAGTATGTACATACAGACATACATACATACAAATGTATGCAGAAATTACAGTTATATATAGCTTTTTTTCTTCAGCTTTACATTCGTCTCAGCGCTCGCTAAATACAGCCTATACAGTTATTACTTTAATTTATTTAGGTTTTAATAAGTTTCTCAAATTGGTTTTTATTTTCAGATTGAAATTGACTTTCAAATGCTCTATCCTGGCAAAGGTCATTTGCTTTTGTCGAAGTGGGAAGAATTCAAAGTCAAAATTTTGACTCATTACTCAACCCACCTTCGTAACGACTTTTGTAAACAACAACTGGCAGTAGCAAAGTCGTCTACAAATAAAGGTAATTATTATTATTATTAATAAATATATTTGTTAAAAAAAGTTATTTCTACATTACAGATCTCCAAGACTTCCTTGTATCGATATTATTAAATGGCATTTTGCCTTGTGGTTCGCGCTTTAAAAATAGCGAAAACTGCAAAGCTACAAAAAAACTGACGATTGCGGATTCCCAGGAGTCTTTCGTACTTCAAATAGAGACCCTGAACAATATACGCCCTAAGATAGACGAACTAGTGAATAAGTTCTATTTAAAAAAAGAATCCTTGCAGCCATTTCTTACTATAACTAAACTAAAAAATAAAACCATTTCAAAATAAAATGTATATACCAAAAATTACCAATTTTAAAACTTTTTGGGATAAAATCAGGAATTTGGGGATTAAACATTTTAAGAATAGTTGGGATTAAAACAAGAATTTTTGGAATTAAACATTTTAAGAGTAGTCGGGACTAAATCAAGAATTTTCGGAATTAAATATTTTAAGAGTAGTCGGGATTAAAAGAAGAATTTTCGGGATTAATTATTTTAAGAGTAGTCGTGATTGTATCAAGAATTTTTGGGATTAAAAATTTTGAGATAGTTGGGATTGAAACAAGAATTTTCAGGATTGAAAAATTTAAGTACGTTCGTACCATAAATAAGAAAATCCGTGATTATCCCGATAATGATACCGTTTCAGATTGTTTTTGCCAACTTTAT